GACGTAGGAATTCTAAGCCAATCACAGTTTAGCTCAAATAACCCCAGAACTACTGCGCGACTCTGCGCGAGGTATTCGCTGCGAGGAGCACTCGAGTTTTATTCTATCATGGAATCTGATTGGCTAAGGAGAAACAAAAGTCATTACGTCACAGAAATCGTTACCTGGCTCGGGTTCGCAGACGTTATTTTTCGGCAGAACCAAGTGACAGCCGGAAATACGTCTGCGTTCGCAGGCTAGACTTCCATGAGCGGAAGGCGTTTGTAAACGTTTTGCATGTTTGACGTTCAAACATCTTAGGAAATGTTCCAGTTGCCCAACATCTAAATTTTGGATATTTTGAGGCATCGGGGATAAATATTCCAGTGTAAACTTGCGAGCGGGAACTCCATTATGAATTAATGTCGATGTTTAATTCAGTGGGTGTGAGCCAGATTGCAGTCATCTATTTCATTCGAGCAGTGGTGCATTCGAGCATTCGAGTAATGGTGTCATATCAACGGGATAAACTGAAGTGTTTCTGTATTTCTGGACTTTGGTGGTAAGGGTTGCCTTTTTTGAACAGCTTCGTGACCCTTTACAGCGTTGAAGTTAGTTATAGCAATACAGTAGGTACGGCGCCTTCCTGTTACGAGCCGTTACGTTAAGGTGGAGGATTTTGCCTCTCACCGAATAACTTATCAGGTGAGGTCTGTTTCAGTTTCAGACATAGCATCTGGCATTATTTGTTGAATACTGGATACGTCCCTCGGCAGTATTGAGAATCATCACCATCTCTTTGGTCCATATTTGAAACTAATAATTTATTTTTATGTTTCTTCATGATCATCCTCAGACTTTCGTTTTGATCTTCTAGACTTTACTGCTTGAATAATTGGCCCCATTAAGCAGTTATGATAGAGATTTTGCAGGAAGTTTGACTTTACTACCTCATTTTGTTGACCTTTCTGTAGTCCACTATTTTTTTGGCTGCCTCTGAAACAGTTTACAAACAGTTCATGCTCCTCTATTCCACAAAGAATTGCCATTTGAGACAAGCACAATTAAAGAATGCATTCATCTGACTTTATTTTAGCTTTCCTTATTGTCTTATTTTACTGTCCTTTCATTAAAGGAGCTAGCTACCGCTAGGCAACACTTCAGGCCAATTTTGATATGTTTAACTCCTTATCCATCTCTTTGCCTTGAAGGAATAAAACAAAGATCCCTTGCAATTGATACAACTTCTTGTTATTTTCCAAGGCGTTGGAGTCAAGTATCAAAATTGGCCTATTTCAACATCGTGAAGGTTCTGTTGACTCAGGTTTGTCCAAGCTAAAGTCATTTTTCTGGGTAAATGACCATTTTGCCTGTCTAGCTCATTACTAACTAGCACACACATACAGGTAACAGGGCTCATTTGCCTTCCCTGAGTCCCTGGTTTTATTTCATATCTCAATTTGTAGATGAGTGTATGGAAGCCCTATTTCAGTTGATCTCCAGAAGTATGACAGAGTTTTCTTCCACCACAAATCATGCCAAAGCATGTGAGCAGAAGCTGCTTTCTTTATTTCTACGGGTCAAGAAATTCTAAATAGCTTGTAAATGAAATACCTCAACCTAGTAAAAGTTCACAGTCAATCTGTACCCAGCAATTCCATTTTGGGCATTCCCATGCAGAAGCTCAAGAAGGAAAATGCTTTCAAGTTTTAGAGTTCAAACTGGTACTGAACAGTAAGGAATGGAGGTTTCCAAAGCTTTTACTATCACTGCATTATTGAAACATGCCACTCTTGTTGAGTGCTCTGTAACTGTCTTCAAGTTTCATGATTTAAATCACTCGTAGAATGTCTTCAAACTCAACATATCACAGGGAAATCATAAAGTAGATGCGGTGTTTTATAAGTAAATCAAGACGGACAAAACTGTAGATAGAAAAGCCTATTGAATGTAAGCTCGAGTTTATAATACAAAACGCTGAACAGTTAGGAAATATTTCAAAGACTTACATTCGGAGGCTTCGCGCTATATGATGGCAGTCAAGAAACAGTTCGACATCGCTATTTTGCACAGAAATTAGAGAAGAATAATTGCAAAGGAAGTCTTCTCTTTCGTCGGTGTGAAAATGGGAGTTAAGTTAATGAACTTTAGAATTTCCACAGCAAAATAAAAGCAGCATACAATAGTTATCTTCCTGATACAGCAACCAAGAATGTGAAATTCACTTAAGCTCAGCAGGAAAATATCAGCCTGAAACTTGTCGCTAATCTGACACAAAGTTGGCCGTCATTCCCTTAGTCCTGATTGTCTCAGAACTGTTGCTAAAAAGTACTAAGAGCGAATAAAAAAATATCGAATCGAAGGCAAATCCTGCACAGAAGTGGCGGCGAAACATGTTGCGGTTCCGTGTTATGTTCGCGATCTGTGCATGCCGGCTACGGTTCTCAAATGATTGACAGATTTCTTTACTGGGGCGAACATAGAAACCAGAAAAGCGGCGAGATCAAAGGTAGCTGCCAGCCCCCCGCTCCTGATTTCTGCTTTCGCTCCAAACCATATCGTACGATCTAATCAAGGCCATGCATGTGGCTTATACACGATAATATGTTAATTGTATGACGTTTGAATGATCACCTTTTTATCCGTACACTGTAAGTATTACTCTCAAGTGATGTATTCAATGTGGAAGTGAAAGTAGTTTTAAACTGCTTCGTGATCGATCCAGCTAGTTAAGAATGCATTAAGAATGCGTTAAGAATGCGTTAAATTAATAATCTGACTAAAGTATTGCTCGACTAGGAATTAAATCTTGGGATTTACTTCTAGTTACGACTTCAGATGGCGTTGTTACGGTTATGGTGGGAAGGCTGGCTCGTCTGGCGCAGTTGTCTTCAGCTAGTCGTGTTACTTTGTGGTTGTTGCCATGAGTATCCACAAAACCGTTAGCGTTATCTCCAAAGCTTCGCGGAGAATTTTTTACAGCGAGGCTATCCAACTCGATAGAATCACGTGCAGGAATCATATACTTGAGTCCGAGAAGTTTGAAGAAAGTGTCTCTGTATTCTGGAATGCGTAAGCCGTATACCAGTGGATTAACTGCAGAGTTACTAAAATGAAGCAACTTGGTAAAGTAAAAGATTCTCCACGAGACACAATAGTGTCTACAGAAATGAAGTACCGCGCGAACCACGAAAAATGGTAACCAGGCAACAAAAAATAAACCAATGACAATGAACAAGGTGAGAGACGTCTTTAAAGCTGTATCCGGGGCTTTCCTGAGGCGAGTTTTGGCTTTGAACCAGATACCAGTGTAAGTCACAGACATTATCAACAGCGGTATCACAAACAGAATGTTAATTAGATAGAAACGAAAATCTATGGTTGGTTTGCTGACTGGCAGAAAGAAAGAGCTGGAAACAAGAGCGGAAGTAATCCAAATTCCCAGTAAGAAGACATGGTACATCCTTTGCGTGGCTCTTCGATGTCTCCACGGGTAAACTGTTGCAAAGAACCGCTCGATACTTATTGCAGTCAAATGAAAAATGGAGTTTAACGCGGCAAAAACATCCAGGACGTCATAAATTATGGTTATCTTGGTATTTCCGGAAGTACTGTTACCTTTCCAAGCCAAATATAACATGTACATCCACATTGGAATAGAAAGCAGCCCCACCAATACATCAGCTATAGCTAAACCAGCCACAAAGAAAGTCACGTGGTGACGGAGATTGGAAGACATGAAGAACGAAGCAAGCACCAATGTATTGCCAAATATGGCAGCAATAGCAGCAAAGCCACAAGGTAGGCACCAGGCCACAAGCTCACCAACAGACAGCTCGGTCAGCCAGGGATCTGGTGATATGCTTTCAGTTAGATTCGTCGTGGTAGGATACATGGTTCCTCGAGCTTAAATTCTGTGAAGGAAAAAAAGTAATATACACTTAGATTAAACACATAGATGCATATCTGGTGGATCAGAGTTTACTGTCTGCAGTAACTGTGGTCATTTTACGTTAATATTTTGCTCAGTAGGCTTCAGAACAGTGCCAATATGCAAACAGACGCAAATTTACTGTTCATTAAAGTACATTAAAGTCTTTCTCGGCGACATTGTTTGGCGACATTACTTCCATCTCGCCGATAGTATCGATCGTTGCGATCACATAGACACTACTAACATGACTGGCAAGTAAATCTGACCAATAAGGATATTTAAAAAATACGGGATGTGCTGTAGTCACCCGCTACCAGTGCTCAGATGTAATTTATTGGACTGTATTTGTTTTTATATTCTTCATGTCAACACAGAGCTGTCTTGCGCGTTCACCGATAACTACATACATACATATACGTTTTATTGAGCCTCCCCATTGGGGCATTTCAGGAACAATCAATTTAAAATTTACAATAATTAAACTGTTTTAAATGCACGTCACGTTAAAATGTTAAAAATATGTTCAATTAAATAGAAACTAAGATAGCATCGTAAATATGTATAAAATACTAAGCCATTTAAAACATTAAAATAATTTATCGAGATGCTTAGAAGCTAAAATTTTTTTTAATAGCTGATGTAGCAAGGTCTTCTTAAAGGTTGCTACCGATTCGCACAGTTTTAAGGTCGGCACTGGAGAATTCACCAGAGGAGTAAAACCAGCTATACATCAACGATGAAGCATGTGAGGTCCTTCCATTAACCCCAATTTTTTTCTTTGTTAAACAGGAGGCAAAAAGTTTCTTTTTAATTCCTTTGCTGAATGACGAGTTACATTTCTGTATTTTTGTCCCGTCGAAATGGCTTGAAATGGCGAGATACACTCTCCTTAAATGTAAAGCTTTGTGGATGAATAGTGGAAAGAAAATGTTTATATCTCGCTGAGCCCCTTCCCGCAAAAAAACCTGAGACGGCATCTGCCACGGAGCCCGGGCTACGTAAATGTCTACCGGTACTTCTTCTTATTCGGGGCCGCTTTAAATTCTAACATTTGCTTTTCTTCTCCATAGACCTCAATTATGATTTTTTTTCTCTCTATTTGTGGTAGGTCTTCTTCTAGTTGCGCCTGCCTGTACACTGCTACTAAGCTACTGAGCTTCTAACAGAAAGGAAACGGCCCGGGGGGGTACTCCCTTATATGAGTTATATAGGTACGTGCGGCCCCAAAGGGTATGGTTTTTCAGCCGTTTTGGTCCATTTTAGCTGATTTTGGCTATTTTGGTCAAATATAGGGTAAGGGTTTTGGGAAGCGGGCCGCACACCCCCTAAACATGAGTTTATTCAGCTTTTTTGGCCGCTGACTTGAAACCTACTTACATTAGGAGGAATCTTTGTCTATTTTTCTCTTCTTTACGCGCTGCACGCGTGGACACTTGCTGCCAAGATCTCGCGACAACGTCTGCTTTTACTCGGTTACCGTCGGTTACTGAACTAAACCATGCCTGATGAGGCGTTCAACTGTCGACAAACCTAGGTTGGCTTACTTTTGGTTTTGCCGCCATTTACCGAGGTTTCCTACTGTGATTTCACGATTAAAAATTTCACCTCACTAAAGTTAAAAGAAAACCAAGGTAAACATCTCTCGTGATAACAAGGGCCTGTATGTTGAATAAAGAAAATTACGAATGCGCGCGCGTCAATTTCAACTGCAGGGCAGATTAAACATTAATGATTAATAGGCCTGCTCGCAGCCACTTAATTGAAGTAATTCTCTCAGTCTTAAAATAACGCTATGAATACCCTATGACGGTACATTTGTCTTCACGGRCGATAAGATTAACTGAAGAACAGAAATTGATGAACARCATCTCAGGAAATTCATACTTGAGAAATAACACATTTTACCAAATTTGGTCATATAACGATACAGCCCATGATACCTAATTAGTGAGTTTTCACCTGTTTATAAAGACATATGTTGCCTTATTTAACTAACCAGCCACAACACTACAGACAGATATAAATTACCAATGATAATCGAAACATTGTCAGCTAAATGATAATTATTGGCTCAGTAAAACCTACGTAAGCGAGAGCTTATTCACAAACACGTTAAAATTGACACTGATCTGTTTGAAATTGGAAAACACAAACTTATCACAGTTCCGTCCAACGTAGCAATTTGCTGACTTTCCTCGTGTTTCCTCAGGAAACGATCATATCTACCTATTTTTGTGTTTTCCTCTTGCTGTCTTCCCTGATAGACAGGACCTATTGTTCTTCAGGTAAGATTCTAAAACTTTAGTTGTTTGATAATGTTTAGCTGTTAATGCTTTTAAGCAGGTGATGTGTCCAACACACTTTAAAAACAAATTATATAGAAATGTTATAAGAAACGATTTGGAAATACATGAGACAAGAAATATAAGTGATAGAAACCGACGTTTCGGTGCATCTTGCGCCATTATCAAGGTTACATAATTAAAGATAACAAGCGGTTTGTGAAGAGGCTAAGTTGAAGCGAATTTGCATAAAAGACTGCGAAGCTAATAGACCAATTTCGCTATGTTAAAATTCACCCTAACAAAATAGACCTCAGCACGAGGCTCTGGGGAATAACCCCAAAAACTTTGTAGTTATTCCCCAGAGCCTCGTACTGGGGTCTATTGTTTAAGGCTGAATTTTAATATATCGAAATTGGTCTGTTACATGAATACTTTAGCACGAAGAGAGTCAGACTGTATGCAGATAGAGAACCTAAGTTGTTGCATTATCAGAAAGGAAATTCCACCAAAATAACGAAATAGTCGAAACACCGTCGGCGGAAAAATTTCACACTTTGTTTAAAAGTGAACGAATAGTGTTTTGCTTAATTTCTTTGTCAGTGTTTTGTATTCGGTTAATAGTTTCTTGCCATTTGTATTAAGCTTCTTTCAAGGCCATGCTAGGCCCCTAATTCATTACAGATTTAACCATATATAAGACATAAGACGAGGTTTTATTACGAGCAATACTAGGTGGCGATCTTTGTTAGCCCGCTTCACACAGGCAAAACGAGCACTAAAAGTTATCGCATTTACTTCAATGCACATAGCTTCTCATAGCTGGGAACGATTTTGTTCGCCCAAGAAGGGGACGACTATTCGAGAGTGAGGGCTATTGCGTGATTGGAATGGGGGTGATTTCTTCTCAAATACTGCGCGTATAAGGTACGATGTACTCCTTTAATTAGGTACAACTTGTGTAAGAAGGGCAAAAGATAAAGAGCAAAATTAGATGATAAGTATGCGGTTGGTTTATTGAAAACAGTTAAGACAGCATTGGTGGCTCTGATGTTCTCATTCAGCATGTATTTATTGAACATTTTATCTCGTATGCCCATTTCTGAATGCAGATAGCAGTGAAAATGATACTGAGATTATCCGACCCTAGAAAGGGTTTTTGAAAGTGTTTTTGGCCCCAGCACTTTGGAGGGGTGAGGGAGGGTGATTATTCCAACTTGGAGACCATTATTTTAAATGTTTCTACCACATGGGGGCGGATACTCGAGGGGAGACTGATCAATCGAGTGAGGGCTATATTGTTATTGCTCGAGGAAACACAGACCATCTTATCGCATACTGTAGTGTATTGTATCACGTTATCTTTTTATAAGTCTTGCATAATATGCAAGTCCGTATGTGGTATTTTTTCGTGCGTGATTTGCACTCTTCTTCGTACAGCTGGATCAGTAATAATAAAAACACCGCTACTTACATGCAGCTTTAAGAGCTTTAAGGTCTAACGACGCGGGCAGAATGAAAGCTAACGGAATTAAAATTTCAAAAATGGCTACCATTGCGCGTTTTGGCAACCCAAATCCGCCACGTCCGTACTAAAGACGAACGACCTGATGGTCAATTGTTTCTGTTGTTGACGCACTGTAAGTATTTCAACGTAAGTATTTTCTAGCAGTCAAATGTTGCCCTCAGTATATACTAAAATGAGCCAATGATTTACGTGTTCTTGAGCAGGGTATATATGTTGTAGGACACCAGAATAACAGCTTAGTTGTAATTTTCTGCTGTCCTTAATCGTTCTTAGCTCGCAGAATGCAAAACCCAGCTAAAGATTGCGAGACTGTTAAAAAAAAGATTCTGTGATACTATACACACTAAAATGTCAGATAAGATACAACTACTCGGAACTGTTAAAGAAAACTTACATTGAAATATTTCCAATCAGTCATCCGGTAGTCATACCAACACCTGACAGCGGGAGAGTGTGCAGAGGAAGCGCTTGATATTACATCCCATGAAAAGATGACGCCATTAATTATTGTACATTATTCAACGATAAGCAAAGCCATTAAGGAGCTTGAAATGGTTCGATTACTTAGCCATTAGTAGTGATGGTCTTATCAGACGAAGTATGTTATTTCTTTAGACGAGACACTCCTTTCTACCAGGTGGTTACATAGCCTTTGATATATGCATTTTTCGATGTTATCAGTTGTTAAGTATTTATCTCTGCTGTTGCCTTTTCTGAATTCCCTGTAACTTATATAAAGCAATTCCCTAAACGTACATCCCAAGAAACTCATTTTCGCTGAAATGTTCCCGCATGGATATATAACTGTTGAGATGAAGCTTCATAACCAATGACCGAGTCTTATTCAAAAAACGTAATCATTTTTCGCGCCCCATCCACTCCTCCCCCTCCAAGGCTACTAAATTAAGACTTTATTTTTTCAAAACGATATAAGTTTTTTGAGATTACGACACTCACGCTAGGCATGGAGCTTGCCTCAAACTGAATAAGACCGTATATTAGCAGAATTCGTTTGTTGAAGCTACGACAGCGGAGCTTAACTTAACTTAAATTTCCTTCGGAGAGGAAAAGATAACCGCCAGATAATAAGCCCCCCACTAATATCTTTTTCAAAACTTCTTCGTTATAGGTGTATATAGTCTATACTGCCATTTAGTGGGTGTTAAATATGAATTCAAAGCAATATCTTTTTGTCAAGAACTCAACCCTTGGCCGACGCAGTGGAACAAAATGATTACTCTTGGTGAATTATTTTAATGGAACGTAAACGCCAGAGCAAAGCTTAAGAACAAAAAAACAGGTTTGCTATCAAAATAAAGTACTCTAAGTCTTGCCGGCGGTTATTTTCACTATAAGAAGATAAATAATTCTGATTAAGGTACAAAAAATTTGCAACAAAGAAAACCGCCTTCTCGCCGTCTGGTCTCTTCCTTGCACG